AAATTAGGCCAGAAAAAAGGTGAAAGAAAAATAATTAATCATTATATGCATACAAATAATTCACAATATATTATTTATATTTGTGCAAATGCACAGGGTCGAATACTAGTTCAATAAATTAGTCTCGAATACTCATTTTATAAATATTCATATTTTTATTAGAAAATATAGTCATCATAAATAAAAGATGAAAATGTATGGGTGACTTCTTTTAAAATCCCTAAACCTCTTTTTAACTTCATTCTCACTCCCTACCATTTTTAAATTCTTCCTAACTCCCTACCCCTTAATAAACTTCCACTTAAATTCTTCCTATTAAAATAAATCAAAAAAATATAATATTACATCATCCCACTAATAATTCAACTTTTTTTATTTTTTATTATTTTTTCTCTCTCCACTACGAAGTTTTTATTACTTTTTTCTCACTTCTTCTACACATTTTTAATTATTTTTTCTCTCTCTCTTTCTACACAATTTTAATTATTTTTTAATATTTAATAAAAATATAAAATAAATATGTAATATGCCCCTTATATTAATTTATTTAAAATATTATGTAAAATTTAAATTGTGCAAAATTACATATGATATGTCTATTTAAAATTAGTACATAACTCGTACGGTGTACATAACTGATAATACATTACATTATATTTATTTTAAAATAAGTGTCATTTTATAACTTTTATTCAGAAATAACTTTTATTCAGAAATTCAATTTGAATACAATGTGGTTCCACAAATAAAATGGTAAAATTTATCATATATTTAAAAATTTATGTGAATAATATGTATAATATTAAAAACTTGTATTTTAAACTTTATTTATCCTATTCAATTTAATAATTGAGAAACAATAAATAATATACTATTTTATTTACGTCATTGGACTACATAATAAAATCCCTTATATATTTTATATAAATATATATTTTATTAATCTCACAATTTTTAAGGTTTGTTGTCGGTTACCTTGCCTTTCAAATTTATCAACTAATTCTCTAGAATTAAATTATAGATTTTATTAAGAAATATTTATTCAAAGTTTTAAATTTTAAGAGGAATACATACCAATTTTAAATTATCATCAATATCTTATGGAAAGTTATTATATAAATATGCTAAAATTTGATAATCATGTCACCTTAATTTTATCAGAAATCAACCTAAAATTCGTCTTTCATACACATACCAAATAAAATCCATATCACTTATTTATGTTCAAAATTTTCAAATACACTCTCATCCATACCATTTAAAATCAAACGTTTCATACCAAAATAAAATCTCCCTCATTTTATTACATGCAATTATTTTGAAATTTCTAACAAACAAATTTTATACTCTAATAGCTTATGCAACACGAATTTCTATGTACGCTACGTAGTATAATAACCAAAATGCGACGAATTACATTATAAATATTTTAATACACTAAAAGGAATACAATTTCAATATGATTGGCCGTTAAAACGAGATTACATTATTTATGGAGAAATCTCTGTATGTCTTTTAAAAGAAAAAAATAAATACTATGATAGGATATTAACCAATTTAATGTGTGATATATTATATAAATCAATATGAGAGTGATTGTGGGTCATGTAAACATCATTTGAGGTCGAAATTTGAGGTTTTTATGTGTTCATTACAAGTCGTACTAAATACCCAAAATCAGGTACCACTACAATACAAAAGTGGTACTATCATTCTCTAGGTCCGATACTACTTTTTGTAAATGTTGAGTAAAATTGAAATAATCAATTTTTTCTTCACAAAAGTAGGTACTAATCTCTTAAAAACCGGTACTACGTAGAACAATATGTGGTACTATTATGACAAAAACTGGTACTAGTTTAGGATTTTTTTTTTTCAATCTTTAATGCCTACTTTTTCACGTGTATCATTATAGTTTGAATTGGATAAAAAATAATTGAAGTTAAACCAAATATGTAGAATTTGGAGTAGTCATGTGTGATGATTCTATGAGATAAAGTATGCCATTCAATGAAATGAAGTGTATTACTAGTGTTTTCTCATTAGTGTGTTGAGTTAATGACAATTTTAGGATTAAACTCAACTAAAAATATTTTAAATCTCATATAAACCAATGTGAGAGTGATTATGGGTTATGTAAACATCATTCGAGGCCGAAATTATGTGTTTTTATATGTTCATTACAAGTTGTACTAAAGACCAAATATCTGGTACTACTGCAATACAAAAGTGGTACTATCCTCCTCTAGGTCCGGTACTACTTTTTGTAAATATTGAGTAAAATTGAAATAATCAATTTTCTCACAAAAGTAGGTACTAATCGCTCCAAAACCGGTACTATATAGAACAATATGTGGTACTATTATGACAAAAATTGGTACTAGTTTAGGAATCGTATTTTTTAAAATTTCATGTCTACCTTTTTACGTGGATCGTTATAGTTTGATTTAGATAAAAAAAATAATTAAAGTTAAACCAAATATTTAGAATTTGGAGTAGTCATGTGTGATGATTCTATGAGATGAAGTGTGTCATTCAATGAAATGAAGTGTATTAGTAGTGTTTTCTCATTTATGTGTCGAGTTCATGACAATTTTAGGATTAAACTCAACTAAAAAGATTTTAAATCTCATATAAACCAATGTGAGAGTGATTATGGGTCATGTAAACATCATTCGAGGCCGAAATTCTGTGTTTTTATGTGTTTATTACAAGTAGTACTAAAGACCAAATATCAGGTACTGCTGCAATACAAAAGTGGTACTATCCTCCTCTAGGTCCGGTACTACTTTTTGTAAATGTTGAGTAAAATTGAAATAATCAATTTTCTCACAAAAGTAGGTACTAATCGCTCCAAAACCTGTACTACATAGAACAATATGTGGTACTATTATGACAAAAATCGGTACTAGTTTAGGAATCGTATTTTTTAATCTTTCATGTCTACCTTTCCACGTGGATCGTTATATTTTGATTTGGATAAAAAATAATTGAAGTTAAACCAAATATGTAGAAGTTGGAGTAGTCATGTGTGATGATTCTATGAGATGAAGTGTGTCATTCAATGAAATGAAGTGTATTAGTAGTGTTTTCTCATTAGTGTGTCGAGTTCATCACAATTTTAGGATTAAACTCAACTAAAAACATTTTAAATCTCATATAAATCAATGTGAGAGTGATTATGGGTCATGTAAACATCATTCGAGGCCGAAATTCTGTGTTTTTATGTATTCATTACAAGTAGTACAAAAGACCAAATATCAGGTACTACTGTAATACAAAAGTGGTACTATCCTCCTCTAGGTCCGTACTACTTTTTGTAAATGTTGAGTAAAATTGAAATAATCAATTTTTTTTCACAAAAATAGGTACTAATCGCTCAAAAACCGGTACTACATAGAACAATATGTGGTACTATTAGGGCAAAAACTGGTACTAGTTTAGGAATCGTATTTTTTTTTAATATTTCATGTCTACCTTTTTCACGTAGATCATTCACGCATGATTTAAAGGAAAAATAGTGGAAGTTAAAACATATAGGTATAATTTGGAGTAGTCATGTATGATGATACTATTGAGATGAAGTGTGACATTCAATAAAATAAAGTGTATTAGTAGTATTTTCTCATTTAGATGTCGAGCTCATGACTAATTTGCGATTAAGCTCAATTAAAAACATTTTAAATGTCATGGAAACTAATGTGAAAATGATTATGGGTCATATAAACATCATTTGATATCGATATTCAGTTTTTTTATGGGTTCATTACATGTGGTACTAAAGACCCAATATCAGGTACTACAACAATATAAAATTGGTACTATCTTACTCTATTTTTGGCCAAAAATCAAATCATTAATGTTGGTACAAACAAGCCAAACATGAAGAATTCATAACAGATCATAAATCAAACATAACAGATTCATAACAAAAATCATATCATTTGTTCCATTTCATCCACAAACCAAACATCCAGATTCATAAAAAAATAAAAAGGACTCTTTTCAAGAGTCTCCTTGTGCTTGT